ATGGAGATATTTTTGGTATGTTACTTCCGAAAAATTCCGCTGGCGATCTGAAGATGAACATTGGCAGTTAGAGAGAAGACATGTCACATTCCTGCCAATTTTGATGGAATGATGATCCATCTCCTATAGGCTTACTGCGTGTGGCCAGCAGCGAAGAATATAACGAATAAAAATACATTAATTGTGTGAGGTCCTCCACGTTGGTTGAAAATGTCCTGTACACGATATTGTTAAGTCGACTGACAGTTCTTTGCCTCCCATCCCACGACATCGACTGTCTGCAAAGGTTTGACCAGATGTCGCGCGAGTCAAAATATTGGGAGGGTTGTGTACGTGACACGACCGCAATCGTTAAGGCGTAAATCCGTCTTTGTAAGATGTAAGTAAATAAAATCTTGATGGTTATCAGGTTATCACATCCCAAGTCAATATATTGAGTTCTTGACCAAATAAACACAGATCTTAAAAAATAAAATAAATATATTTTGAGCTCAAGTACAAAGACTCAGCAGTACCACACACGTGGTCGGAATGACTCTAGACGGAGACAAAATACTAAATCTAGGGGCACAGTAAGACATTACCAGGTTCGCCACAATAGAGAGGTTGTGGCCGACGTTTTAAACGCAAAAACGTGTACGTCGGACGTTCAGCACCGCCTTCCTGTAAGCCTAGAAGTTTGACAATGGCGTTTAGAATGTCGAGCATGATTCTACTGACGTTCCAAACACCATTGTCAAACTTCTAGGCTTACAGGAAGGCGGCGCTGAACGTCCGACGTACACGTTTTTGCGTTTAAAACGTCGGCCGCAACCTCTATTATCTATCGGTTCAGACGGCGGCGTAGTCGAAGTATTCGTGTCAGAGTTGACGCGCTCGGTTTTTGGGCTTTTCTGATTTCTTTTAAGTTTCTCTTTCTAATGAAATACGTTTCTTACATTTCTGTTCATATTTCCTTTGCAATTTCTTCAACCGTATGAAAATTTTCTTTGAATCGCACACTTATAGGCTTATAGCTTTACAAATCCTATTTTATCGGTTATTATTGCTAAATTACACTCACTGCCAAAAGTTAAGCACGGAGCAGAAAATGTTTATGTCCGGAAAGCAATCTGCATTTGAGAGGCTGCAATTCACTGCAGAGGTAGGTGGAAGTATGCAAATATGTTATGTTACTACCAATCATAGTTACGTGTCGCGAAATATGCAAAACAGGCAGTCGTATAAGAAGCCAGCCTTCTGCAGTATGAGAGGAGTTGCATGTAAGTGCCTAGAAAAAGTGTGGAGAACTGTCATAGAATTAGTGTGCATGACTGACGTGTTTCTATGACTTCCAGAAGACAAATGATAGACAGTGAGTGCTGGCGGTGTGTGGGACGCCATGAAGCAGGACAATCAATCACAGATGTTGCTCTTTTCTTCGGTGTTCATCATTCCATCATTTCACGGTTATGGAAACAATTCCAAACAAGCCAAACAGTTGTCCGAAGACCTGTGGCCGATCGCCCAAGACTTACGACCCCTGCAGAAGATCGCTATATTTCTCTTGTAGCCAAGCGGAATCGAAGATTAACCTCTACACGTGTGACATCGATGGTTGCAGCAGCCATTGGTAAAACGATATCTGCTACAACCATCGATGGTTGCAGCAGCCATTGGTAAAACGATATCTGCTACAACTGTGCGCCGAAGGCTACACATGAACGGACTGTGCGCCGAAGGCTACACATGAACGGACTGTACGTCCGGGTACCAAGAGTTTGTGTTCCACTATCCGTCCAATCCAGAGGCACGCGATTAAAGTGGTGTCGGCAACATGTGAATTGGACTGTGTCTGATTGGGGCAATGTTATGTTCACAGATGAGTCGCGATTTTCCCTGGAGCCAGATGACAAACGTGTAAGAATATGGAGAGAAAAGGGCATACGCAATCGACCCCAGAACATCATCGAGCATCACGCATTCCGAGGTGGAAGCATTATGGTGTGGGCAGGCATTTCATTGGGATATCGCACCGACCTGCACATCTATCGAGGGGTTTCTGTGACGGCTGTCCGGTATCGGGATGAAGTCCTCGAACCCATTGTGAAATTGTATGCTGCAGCAGTTGGTCCTGCTTTTGTTTTAATGGATGATAACGCACGACCCCATAGAGCTGCCATCGTCGACGACTACCTCGAGAGTGAAGGAATTGCGCGTATGGATTGGCCGGCATATTCGCCAGACCTCAATCCCATTGAGAATCTTTGGGATGCCCTTGGCCGTGCTGTGTGTGCACGTTTCCCACCCCCTCTAAGCAACAGGTTACGATGCTTCTTATAATTGCGCATTGTAAAATTAACGTAAACATATCTTTTCAATAATGAGATTTTGTAAAAAGAAAAAAAATGTTCAAAATTCCAAACCCCTTATTTTACAAATTTTATGAAAATTATAGCAATTTTTAGCAATATTTATATTTGCAACTTATAATCTCTGTAACTTTTATGACTAATAACTGAAGTAGCATATTGACAAATAATAGGTTGATTAATTTAATGAGATACGGCAGCGCAACTTATGGGCACTCCGCCAGGACTTTATATGCGAAACTGATCTTTGTTTATGGATTCGATACGAAAAAAAAAGCTCAGGGAAACTCTACGTGGAAAACCGTTGATAAGGCGCGAACCCATAAACAACGATTAGTGTTCGGTGATCTTAGCCTCTCGGTCGCTAAAATAACCACTGATAAATGGCATATTTATTAGCTTTGCTTTAAAAGTAGGCTGTGATTATTACAGTACATCATTGAGTCTAGATCGTACATCATTAATGTTTTTAATACTATTAATATTTGCGCAACAACAGCTTTCGTGATATCATAGTTTCATTTGTTAGGCCTTGAATTCTAATTAACAATGGGTTGGATCGCCCCGGGTGATCAAAAATGGAGCACCTGCCAATTACATAATTAATATTATGTACGTTAATTGTCTGTACCCTTGCCAAAATAATATTTCAATATCATTTACAGATTTCCTTTAACTTATTCTATCATCCGAAACCCGATGTGATACGAATCTTCTAATCTTAACTTGCAAACCCTAATAATGTATTTTAAACACAATTGAGTAACTAATTGATTAATTAACGTGAACTGAAGACTGAACATTATTTAGACTATTAGATCCACTATTGGAGAATTGATTAATGTAGGTGAGCAGAGTCTGGGCAAAATACACATTGGGGCTCTGTAACAAATTACATTATTATATTAAAGTAAAGAAAATAAACGAAAAATATTGTATAGAGAACCGAACTCTTGGGCCGGAGCAACTTGATCCCTCTGGGTGGACTCTATAAATTATGGAAATTCGGACTAGGTACGAATTCGGAACCTCTTTGTTATGCGGCCATTTGAAAAAATTAATTCTGAAGTTTAAGAATTTGCCAATACTTTGTGGAGATTAAGACGTCAGTTAGTGTCTAGGGATCCGGGATCTTCTACCCGGATCTGTAACCGGATATCTCGGGCTCCCCGGTCCGATTAATTCAACCGGGCCTACAATTGATTCGGCCAGGTCCGCAATAGAGGCCATTATGAGTCTGGCTGAATCAACGATGGGTATTAACAAAATTGCTCTTTTAGGCTGGAAAATATTACATATTTTAATACTTCGACAATAAAATGTATCAGTACGAATAAAGAAAAATTAGTTAACTTTCGACGATCATTCTGACACGAGATATATTTTCTTGCATAATTTATTTTATATATTAACTGTACATTTAATTATCTGAAATCCGTCGTATGAATTTGATAGATATTTACTAACATTTGATACTCGGAGACTTGGAAATTTATTCCATTTCTAGAATTTCCGTCAGTGTAACGAAACGTCTATTAACATTAGCTTTCGTATATTACTATTACAATACGCTTATAACAGTACGCTATATAAAAATACGGAGGAGATGTTACTTTGTATCCGAGATAAAGTTTAAAATGTTTACTAAGACAAATAAGTAGACGCCTCGTATTGCTGAATTAATTATAATGCTAACTTGTAAGCTCGAACCGAGCAGATATTTTCTTCTAGGAAATAAACGACACGTGACATCAGTTACTTCTACGTTCAATCCTAAAGGGTGTATTATGAAAAAACGTGTCGTGAAATTCCACGAAAGACAAATACATTTAAAATAATTCACGAAAACTTTGTTTTAAAACATCGTCTATTTGAATATTCCGAAATAGTTTGAATTTATATTTTTGGCTTTTTCATACCCATTAGGGATTCGGCCAGGTCCACAGTAGAAGAGAATGGGTGGTGAGGGATTAGGGAAACTGGTCATTTGAATCGATCCCGGTTCCCCAGAGCAATATGCTGATGCCTTAACCTAGCAACTTGGCCTGAACCTATTTACTTATCACTTCGGTATCTTTAATATGTAGTTAATCAATTTTCTACTCGATGTTTAGATTCTGAGGCTAACAAATCAATAGTAAAATCGTTAAAAAAAATTTAAAAAAGAATTTTAAAAAATGTACAGTAGTCTATGTTAATTATTAACTTCGAGTCGACAAAAGTAATTTAATTACATTAAGTTAATTGATTAATCGCTTTATATAAAGTATTACAGGTAATTACGAACTATAAAAATATACACTAATTATTAAGAAAAAAAAAGAAATAAAATAATGTAGTCGTACAATTCGTGGTGGCTAGAAACACGTTATTCTAAAACAAATCAATATATTTATTATTATTATTATTTTGTTTTTTAGTTTAAAAACATAGTTTTGGCAAATTGCATTTGCATACTTTAGGATAACATTTCAAAAAAATTGCAAAAATGTTTTGAAATGTTATCATAAATGATTTTAGAATTTAGCTAGAAAATTAGTTGTATTGCATAAACATTTTCCTATACTTTTAGAACGGGGAAAACAGAAAATCAAGGACAGCGAGGTGTTCAGCTGAACCTGTTTACTTCTGACCTTAACTTTACTTTTCCATCGACGATTGCATGTCGCACTCCGTTCGCGATGTGATATTTTATACGTTCTTTACCAATATCTGTTTCGTAATTTTGGAATATTTCAGTTACATCAATTGTCAATCGCTTTTAGCATATCAAATTACGTTTATAAGCTGGAAATATCGAGCAGTAATTGTACAGGTTCGTTGATTTATTTTCATTTCTATACTTTGTCTTTTATCGTATTTCTAATTATTTTCAGTATTAATTTATTAAGTTAAATTATATTCTGTATTGAAAAGATGTGGCAGTTTTTTCTGTCCACGTTACTTTCTCACTTTGCGATTGTGTTACTGTATTAAAATGATCGTAAATCCTTTGGTAATAAGCTCTAAAGTTTGAAAAGTGTAATCAGAAGAAGTAAAATACAGTATTAACCTGGTATTATGTGATAATGCAATTGTACATAATTTTAAATTCTTATCTATACTATTGTTTCTTGAGTGAGCATTACACATACCTGCGTATGTGTACACGCGTGCGTGTGTTTGTAATTAGCTATCGACAATTTCTTACGAAGAGCGTCTTTTTAACTCTTTCGGCCTATGACTACTATGAGGGCTTTTTAACAAGCCTGTAACGAGTTCGGTCAAGCCCACAATGAGAAACCGAGTGGTGGGGGGAAGGGTTCCGACATATTCGGACGGATCATTCTCTCAAAATACCTGGGAGATATTTTTCCCTGCCCGGATTCGAGCCGGGTCTCTCAGAGTAGTGGACTACCACTTTGACCGCTCGGCCATCCGGCCGTCCTTAAGAAAGGATTATCTTTACGATGTAGCCTACTTAAGGCTGGTATACACGGTAAGGAAATCCTCAAAGGATGTGCTTAACAGACGAAAAAAACTCGGATATAACTGGCTGGATCGAGCATAGTAATTTACAAAACTTATTAAAATATCTCCCAACGTATAAAGAATTATTTTTATTTAAAAATGGATAGATAGAAAAAAAAATCACGGTTAATCCTCAAAGGATTTCCTTACCGTGTATACCAGCCTTTAGAAAGACCGGACATACGCTAAACAAGCCAAACTATATAGCCGCACCGTACGAGTCTATAGCTTAGACTTCACATTTTTACATATAGCATTGTTTGGTAGAGATGAATTGACTCTAGACTTGTGGCCCAAGCTACAAGCCCAGTTTTGCTTAAATCGCTTAATGACGTAATTCGAAAAGAAAAAGCAGTTGAATTTTGACTTAAAACAGAATTTATTTCGTGGTACTGTACTGAAAAACTAGCAGACCTTCAGATTTTTCACTAAAGAATTTAAAAATTGTGAATGAAATGCCGGTGGCAAGAAAGCGAGGAAAATGTAAATTAATACTTTCATTATAAATTCAAATAAATAAAACATAAAATTGAAACAAGCGATAATTTTAGCAAAATCACTTTTTGGTGATATTTTTTTTTTTTTTTAATTTTGCAGAAAGGACAAATAAATGAACAAAGTATGTTTGCTTCTTTCTGGACATTATAATACATCGAGTGAATCACACGACCTTTGATACCATCCAATTGTCGATATTACTCTATTACCTGCCAACGTAATAGTTATTATTTGTTTTCACTATTTTTACGAAATGACAAAAGAGAAAATAATTACCGTACTATGTAATCTTTCATATATTTTACATACCAAACAACACACGAATCGCGCGTAAATAAATAGAAATCCTTGTAAATTGGATTTCATCTTAGCGTATTTCTTTTCTGAATAGGGACTTTATACAATTTATGTTCCTTTAAGATTGAGAATTTATGTTCACAAACAGACAATAGGAGAACTTACATCAAGGTTTTTTAAAGCGATAAGCGTATCACTCTAGGCAATACGAAATAATGTTTCAATGAGCAGAGACGGTAATACTACGAGCTAAACATTCGACCCTATTAAAATAATTAATAAAAATCTTAACGAAATAATTATATTGTTTCCATTCCATCGTTCGAGGCCGACTGGAGTAGTGTTTATCCACTCCGTCACCGAACGCTAATGGTCCATCAATATAACCAGAAAAGAGCCCGGGGAGGCCGGGCTCCCTTGGTTATGACCCATGTAAATAAATAAAGGAAAAGCGAGTAGACATAGCAAATCGATTTGAATGTGACAAACGCATTTATACACACGTATATCCGATATCTAAGAGTTTAATCTTCATCCACAGCTCTAGGGCTACTTCCACAGTGGTCCAAAGGTGAATGCAGCTTTGATCTCTCTAATTCTTTTTCGTTTTTTCTTTAAAAACTGCGGGCGAAGTAACCATTTTACTATTGAATTATTTAGTAATGTAATTTTTATCATTGCACTTATCACCCGTCTTATTAATATTCACGATTGTTATCAGCAATTCTCCTTATTTTATAACTGAAGGTTAAACAATTACTACTTCAAAACGTTGTGTAAAAACCTTCAAAGTATTTTATTATAAAATATTTAAGTCATCTATATAACTATTTCCTTATAAACTAAATACAGTCCAACCTCTACGGGAACATAAAAAGTGACAGCTGTTCGAAGGCTATTTCATTTGCATTTCAAACGTTCCCGAAAAACTTCACCACTATTTAAAGATGGCTGTTGTTAGGAGGTGGCCGTTATTGGAGGTTCGACTGTCGAATTAAATTCGTACGTACCGAACAATTGCTTTTAAAATAATCATTTTCTATATCAATTAACTTTAAATCGCTCGAAAAGAGAACACGGTTTACGTATTCCTACGTGTAAAAGTAGCAAAGCGTTTATATAGGACAAATAACAAAATAAATAAATAAAATTTCAATATATATATTAATTATTTATAAAACATATTAATTTTTTAACTTTATTCTTAATGAAAGAAAAATAATATCATTTTATTTAGGTTAATATACCTCATTAAGAAGTACAATAGATAAAAAGAATATTAACCTTTGCAGTACTTTTTATATCAAACAAATATATGTAAAATCGCTAATAAATTCGTATTTTAGCGTAATTTATTCAAAAAATTTCGATACAATTTACGTTTTGTCCATTATTTTACTCAAAACCTTGACGATATTTAATTTAAAATCTGGCACAATGAACAAAATGGCCGATGTATAATTAATGAAGCTTTTAAGGAAAATTAGCAAAGATATGCCGTGTCAATATTTATAGATGGTATTTGAAATTATTTCGATTAAAAAATGAAGTTGTATCGATAAGTATTTTGAGCTCATTAAACTACTCTTTCGAGATTATTTAAATGCTCCACTTTGGTGTTGACCTTGGTAACGCTTTATCCCCCTTCGTCACTCGGAGCTAATCAACCCGGTAAACTCGCGATTATTATTGGAAACTTGCTCCTCCTTCGCCTCTACTCCAATATAAAATACTTTTCCTAATTTATTCTTCCTCCTTTGTGATTTATTACTTTCGACTATAATTTAACAGGAAAAAAGTATTTAATCTCTAAAAATGAAAATAATTTGCCTCTTCTTTCTTTTTTAATCGATCCATTCGTACACATTTATCGTTTTCTATTTCTACGTAATCTGATAGGAAAATAACGAACAAAAGTTATTACAATGTGAGAAGTATTTATAAAAATGCCGAGGTTGGATAAAACTAACGTAAACCGGTGGCGGGTTCGCATCTCCTCGACAGGTAGGCCGCGGACTGTTCCTAACAGCTAAATAGGAACCAGTTTCTTATTAAAACAAACGTTTGTTTTGTTTGTATGTGGCACCGCGACAGGTGGGCGATCTATCGAGGAGAGATGCCTCCTAGGAGGACTGTTATAAACGCGAAGAAAACCCGAAAAATTCCACGTGGCCAGCCCGTTGGCTAGGTGGGAACCCACGATTAACTACCGGTGTTCGGTGGTTTTATCTAATCAGCCACTGGTAGGCTAAAATCGACGTACAGTAATGGCGGGTTCGCGCCTGTTCAAAGAACTAACATCTAAATCGGGACCAGTTTCTTATTGAAAATCCTCCCGGGAGGCACATTCCGCTAGACAGATCGCCTCGTATTGCCCGAATAATGAGCTTTACGAAGAGAGAAACCGTATATTCGTGCATCTTCTTTCTTTCGGGGTTCGTACGGAGATTCTAGCCGTGTATCGGCTTTTTCTCCGACGAGCTATATTCGTGCATTAAATACTACAGTAAATATATTGAATAATTTCATTATAGTGGATTCCCTTTGTCTGAAAGAGGGCAATATTATAATTGAATATTACGCGCGTAAATTTAATTGTACAATTTTAATATTCTTTAATTTCGTCAATACTCTTGGTTTTATATTATTTAATTTAAATATACAACGAATTATAATTATATTTTAACTGTAATTCATCCGCACTTATAGTATAGAGCAGAGCTTCCGCAATCGGTGCGCCGCGGCACGGAGCCTCCAGGAAGAGGAAAAGCGCCGGTGGCGTGCCGTCATTGGAAACGGTAGATGCGCCGCTTCTCTCATATTTTCTAAAACAATAAATACAGTACATATTAATTAATTTTAATTATACGAAAATAATCGCGCAATATTTTATTATGACCGCATTACGTATCTTATTACAAATTTCTATACTACACGTGAAAAAAGATTGCTATCGTATATTCGAATATTAAGGATTAACTTAACGAGTATGGGCTCCACTACTCAGGTGGTCGGCACAGTTCGCCGAAACTGTTAAATTTTCCCCCACACACTTCCAGGAATTACTCAAAATCAGGCATGCATGGTTACTCCTCAAAGGATTAACTTAACGTGTATAGCCGCCTTTAGTGGCGAAGTGGAAGCGCTTGTATTGTCGGCATCAAAAAAGCCAGATTCGCGCACGCGCTTTACAGAGCACCAACCTCACCCGGTTTAGCCGGCGGAAGTCAAGGACCTGGGGTGGATGCAACGCGTATACCGCATCCGATTCTATCCGGAACCGGTTCCGGGCCGTTAGCCGCCCGCCGGCTAGATATTTGGCCGCCCTCGCCCGATTACGCCAATCGCGAGTAGATTTATAACTTAACCCGACCGATAAGAATTTACCGGTACATTTTTACCATAGTTCTGTATAGTTGACGGGAGTTTAAAAAATCCGTTAAAATATTTGATATTTTTATTCCCCTCTCCCATATTATATTACTTACGGATTTCGATGTTAAACCGATG